AATATAGACAATGGGTCGTGTCTCATATTATTTGTTATATTTTTATTATTCATTATTTTCACTTGACTCGCATAATTAATACTTTGCAGCACTTTCTAGTTATAAAAATAAGAAAAGGATAAGTGCTTATCTAGGGCCACACAGAAAAGGTGTCTTTAATAGAGGAAGACCTATGTAATACTGTATTTTTATTTCTTTATCATTGTCTACATCATGTCACTGGCATTAAAGAATTGGCAAGATTTCCTTGTGGGACTCCATTTCTGAGTAGAGACAGGCTGTAAACGTCTGTCCCCTCCTATGTTCTTGAACACATGCATAGTTGAAAGTAAGAATCCAGAGGTTCAGAATTAACTGAAGATATCATTGAACACACAGATAACTCTATGGATAAGTTTGCTTGTACTTAAAAAGTCGAAGAAGTCAGAATTTTGGGAAGCTAACCTCGCCACAGAACGCAAGAAACGCCCAATACCTACAAATAAAGAAATCATCGCTAAATGGAGTAACTTATTTAGCACACTGGACCTCAAAGCAGGATACCACTACATTCTCTTCCGCTATAAACGCTTAATGTTGGCTTTAAGATATTTCAGAATGCAGTTTCAAGAATATTAGCAGGGTAACAAGGATGTCATAATAATGGCTCTGGCAATTTCAACACTGGCCTGCGGGCCAACTCCGACCTACCAAAAATTTTGGTCCAGCGTAACATTGCTAAAAAAAAAAATCATTTTCCGGCCGATTTTTAGAAAGTTTTACAAGAGTGTGGCTCCGTACTGCAATAGTTATGAGGGCTAAAGACCCAAAAATGCAAGAAAAGTGCTTCAGGGAAGGGGATGACCTTACCCTAGACAAAGCGATAAAAATAGGATAAAATGTAAAAATGTCGAAGAAAAGTTTGTGCGCCATCAGTACACAAAAAGACATCGACGTACACGTAGTAAAGAAAAAATAAGAAATTTAAGGTCATCTCAAGAAACGGCATCAGGGTTCAAGTACTGTACAACCAACCTTTAGTACAAAGTATGTTCACACATGCCATCATTACTGGGTCATCAAATGTCAATGTAAGGTATGCCAGAAAAAAACTGACAACTCTACCTCACATAAGGCACTCTTGAAGATAATAAATACAGCAACCATGTTGGAGACAAAACGGTTAGGAAAAGCAGGGGGAGGGGAAGACCAATGAGAACCAATGAATGGTAAACACAAAAACAACGTAATTTCATCAAAATTGCCAATTGATTGGACAGACTTGCATCACAATACATTAACATCACTTTTGGATCAAATAGTAATACACCACTATGGGAACTGAGCGAATGTCAGGCTTAGCTCTAATGACCATTCACCGAGAAATTGACACAATGATTATGCCCATCACCATGGATACCAATATCATACTACATCATATTGATGAAATAACTATTTTATACCTAATTCTTTGTTATTGAACATGTAGTCACTAAATGATAGAATAAAAGTACAATTTTTGGTATAGTTTCCGTACATCGGTATTTGCGAATTTTATTTATGAGTATATAATCAATTAATGCCAACATAATATCCAACATAATAATAATAATATATCGCACCTACAACAGTCATTGGAGTCATTCGGCAGAAAACGTGTTTACGAATATATTTTGCAGAAAACGTGTTTACGAATATATTTTTCACGACTCCATAACAATAGCAACACAATCTAATTCTTTGAAGAAATCGATTGTGAGGTAAAGCACAATTCCATGGCCACAGATGCAGCCGAGAAATTTGACAGATACTCTACATGGAAAGCTTGTCGTGCAGCAGCCCAACATTTAAGAGTGAAGCACAAACTACTTGAGAAATCTAAGATGGACGTAACAGGTGGAATAAGTCCACAAATGAATGTTCAGGAAATAAAAATGGTGAAATGTCATTGCTTAAACTCGTCCAGAAAAGTTACTTTGGTAAGGAGTTTCAAGTTCTTGCAGCTATGGAAGGCCAACAGAGCCTTAGAGAACGCAAGGTGATGCTCCAGAAATCCTCTAGTTTGTCCAAATTGGACCCTTTTCTGGATAAAGACGGACTACTGAGAGTTGGAGGGAGGTTAAAGAACTCATGTCTAATATTCAGGTAACATCCGGTAATCCTACCAAAGAACAGTCACATAACGATGCTGATTATTAGAATGTGTCATGAAGAGATCAATCACATGGGTAGAAGCTCAACGTTAAATGACATCAGGCAACGCGGGTATTGGGTCGTAAATGGGTCCAGTGCAACCAGTCAGTACGTACACCAATGTGTGACGTGTAGAAGAAGAGGTGCATTGAAAACTCAGAAGATGGCCGATCTTCAGAAACTGATTCTTCATGCAGTATTTTGAGAATAAGCTCCTGAAATAATGGAACAAGAGCTGATCTACAACCATACCATGATGATCTTGGTCCAAGATGGCTTGTCACTGTTTGGCACCAGACTTGTTATTCCAGCAATGGTAAGAGAAGACATTATCCATGCAGGTTATGTAATGTAATGTAGACCTTTGACTATGTGACATGTGTATCTTGTCACTAAGAATTTAAAGTAACTTTTCATAATGGGAGAGAGCACAATTTATTTACCTATTTTGTTGAATGGTATATTCCCTTCTCTCAAGTTCTCTATGGTAACAGGATTTTTGAGACTTTTATGGTTAGGTCAACCTTGCATCCTTTGTCTTAATTACCAAGTTTCAGAAGAGACAGAAGTTAAGCTATTATCATCTATTAATTTTTATACACTTTTACTTAATTACAGCTGGGGGTTTTGTGGTTTTGGTTTAATTCGATGAGCCATTCGTAATAAAAGAACCTGGACACCTTCAAAGAATCTTTACAATGACTTATTTTGCATATCACAAAATGGCGTAGTCGGCAGGATCACAAAGCACTCACAACTAACCCCTAGCTGAAAGACCAACGAATGTATGGTTAAAAGCGATATCTACTGTTAAACAGCACTATCTACCCATAGAGACCAAATGGTTCAAGAGTCGAAAGTCTACAACAACCTCCTGAATTGAAACTGAAGCTGAATGAAGAGAAGGAGAAAGCGGCAGAGGCAAGAGCAGATCCCAATGCAGCCAAAGATGAATTGAAAAAACTCATGGATGCTGCTGGCAAACTAACCTGAGCCACTTGTTTAGGTACAGTACGAATCTCCAGGGCAGGAGGACTGGCAGTTCCTACATAGGATATGTTGAGCTCTCAATTAAAGCTATCGAAAGAACTTTCACAAATTTAGGATTTCTCATCGTACAAGACCCATCTAACTCTCCCATTTCAGAAAGAAAGAAGAAGGTGCCATGTGTCATTGGCTCAAATATCTTTAGGGATATGAGAAAAGAACTGAAAAGCAGAACTATGAGGACGATACTACATCAGTTAACACAATAAAGGCTTATGTCAGGGTAGCCAGAAATCAACTTATTCTGATACCTGCAAGGTCCATCAAAAGCATGAAGATGAAAGGAGGCTAAACAAGAAATAGACAAGCTATTTAAGCCAGGCAATCCTTACTAAAAGAATGTGTTTGAGCCATGTGAATGTCATTTACGACCCCTTGGGTCTAATAATAACACCAGTTACAGTACAAGAGAAAATCCAAAATAAGACTGTGAGGTGCGAAGTTAGGCTGGGACAACTGGACAATACAATGATGGACAGTAGGACACTAGATGCATTAAACCCATGGATACTGACAGCCAACACTTAAAAAGACATTACAGCTAACAGCATTAAGTCTTTTAGTGCCTCAACTGTAGAACTTAAGTTGACCCCTTGCTTGGCAGAGTAATTTTTATAATATTTTCAAGACAATATTTGGCTTACTCTTTTTTGCTCACAAATTTGTTAATGTCTCTAGATATTCGAGGTTACAACACAGAGGATGTAGCAATTCCTCGCATTCTGGTGATGCTACTTGAAGACCCAGTAAAAGTTTATATCAGGACTCATAATTTTGGACGTGTGGTGATAATATAAAAAATGGGGTTTTTTTTGTTTATTCGTCACCTTTTTATTTCAGTCCAAGTGAATTTCTCCCTCAATGCATTCAGAAACTGTACTTTCATTTGCTGTTTAAACCACTGGTACCACTTCACAATATCTCTTCTCTTTTGCACCACATCTTCTGGATTTCCAGAGTCCAAACTCTTCAAGATTTCGGGAATTTGTTTCCAGTCTTTGATATATACGAATGGGGCATTCATTCTCCTTAGCAATCTTAGAGGAGCGTCTCCACTTTTGTCACAAGCACCCTCACTTATAGTGTCTTCAACTATTGGTATAGAGCCGTACGACATTGCCTCGTATAATCGATAGCATTCTGTGTTTACTCCAACTGGATTAAGGGTAAAATCGCTCGTGGCTAACGCCTTCTTGTAGACGTCTAAGCTCTCAGTTGTTTCTAGAGGTTCCCAGCTGGAAAAATAATTATGAACCACAAAACTTTTACTATATATACTGTTTTTATATTTAACATGAGCTCTGTCAGCAAGACGCTTTTCTTTATCAGACAATAAAGATTATTTGAATTTCTATTTGTATATATACTTTAAAAAATGATTAATTATATTAAACCAATGCAAGTTGTACTTGTACAAGGTTTAAAGCATCGTTTAAATGGGATCTTAAGCCTCTGTTGAACAGGTCAACCCTGCAATAGAAATGACCAAAAAATAAATTCTTTGGGTATAATAAGCCCAACTGGCCACTTCTGAAATTGTCAGCCCTTGTTCGATAGCTTCCCCCTCCCTTCTGATTGAATACCTCAGAGCCACCACAGAGTGATATTATAGTCATAAGAAAAATATGCTTACCTGTCACAGGATTTGAACCCAAGAACCTTGGATTGGAAGGCAAGCACCTTAACCACCAAACCATTTATCCACTACATTGAAGGAATAATGAAGATGAAAAAAACTTACTTTAATCTGGCCTTGATGAAGCACTTGTCCTGTAGGTCTGCTGCACGGATGCTGCTCATCAAATCCTCTCGCGATGACCCTGGATATATTGTTCCTAGGAAATTACACACATATGGTCTAGAGACATTCACTCGGACCTCTTCATCTGGTACCACAGGAAAGCCTCTATACCTGAGTACACAAGATATGAGTGACATGAAAAACATTAATTCCTTTATTTGTATGACATCGTATAGACAGAAAAAATACAAATGACAGTTAAATGGGTAACTGGTAGGTTATAATGCCTAGGGTTGTAGCTGTAAAAAACTAAGGTTGGTGGTGGGCATTTTAATGTTGGTTGTGTAATAACATCATAGTAAACTGTAATTAAGAGTCGATTTTAAGGATAGGTAAATGGCTTAATAAAGGTGGAAGGGTGGAGGGCCATGAAATTAGAATTTTAGCTGGTTAGGAAACTTCAAGGCTAGGTTGCCCTGCCCACCATACATCCCTTGATTACTAGAGCTGAAAAATATTGGAATTATCCCCCCCCAGGAGCTGAGTATGCTCCATTTTGTTTGATTCAATTGCCAGGGTAATAATGTGGAGTACATAGAGGCTTCAGTGGCCTGATGCAGACAGGATGTGATCCTAGCATATTATTAAATTTGTATTTATTATTATTACTTACCTGGATGTCATGGGTACAATTCCCACCTGAACTACTTGCCAGGTTCTTTTAGCAAGTATTTGGGAACATAAAGAGTATTCAGTATGATGTACCATGTCAGGTAGGGCAAAACATCATTGCGATTACATTTTCTGATGCAAACAACAAAAATTGGGAACAGAATTCCCACACTAGGTGGTCTAGTATGACACCAGGTTAGTTATCATAGGTTCAATTGATCCCTCCCAAATCTCCTGATGCAAACAACATTGAAATCATGATATTACTTACGTTGCAACACCAAGTGGCCATTGGAATATATTCTTATCATTGATGAGTTGTGTGTCGTATGTGATAAACAACAGCTTGACCAGTCCACCATGAGTGGTCAGATACTGTAGGATCCAATCATTATTGCACTGCTCGTTCCCAAGAAGGACGACAGCTATGTTCTTTAGATCTGCGTAGTGCGGAAGGTAGTCCAGCCACGACCTAGCAAAGTCAATTTTTTCTTGTGTTCTACCATTCAACACTAGAACAAGATTTTCAACTTCTTGTGGTACTGCTGATTGTACAACACCTGGTCCTGTCCGAAACCTTTAAAAATAATATTAAAAATAATATTCATAATACTACTATTACAATAACAATCTCCAAGAGATGAAAATGCTGTTATATGGACAAATATAATGAAAAAAACTAAAGTAAGTATTAAAGTATAAAAACAATAATACAGTATAATAGTGCTACAGATTAACTTTATTGCTTTTATGTATTAGTCTTACTTTTGTATCAGACAGTATGATAAGTATTTCCCTGCTTGGACTCCCTACAGACATTATTCTCCTATTGACGATTGAAGCAAGTAAATCGAAATGTCCAGACATTCTTATCAACAACAACAACAGTTCTTTTCAGAACTATCTACGTGTTGTACCGCAAGCATTTAATATATTATTACTTCAACCAATATAATTATACTTACTTAAATTTAAAATCTTCTTGAATCAATGAACCATATGTCCATATTCCTCCTAGTTGGGCTTCTAATTTTCCTTCTAGAATATGTTCCCATAAATAATTTCCTATAAGAAAATACAAAAATGAAATATTAATCAAGAATGACTTCCAAATCGCAGAAAAGGAAAAATCACTCAAGAGAGGATTTGGAGAGAATACTGGAAAGCCACGCACTTACGAACAGCTTTCGATTTCCAGCATTTTTTATGTTGTGTAGCAATTCCAAAATTGTGCATAGCATTTTTTTATGCGGTGATAGTGAATGATTATTAAAGATAAGAAATGACACATTTTTCAATACGAAAATTATAGTGATGCGTCTTTTCTTTCTAACACTAGAAGTATTAAAGTAAAACAATGATTGGATAACAACTTTACTTTGACTGTTTTTTAAAAAAATTTTGCGACTTTTTGTGCACCAAGCTTCTTAGTTTTTACAGCCAGGCCTTGCTGAAGACTGAGTGGTTAATTCTAGGCAAATAAATGCATAGCATTTGTGGAAGTGCTTCGCTTATAGTGTAAAATGCGTTACATTTTGTGATGCGGTACTGGGTAAATCGAAAAATGCTTACGAAACCCTCTCCCCTGTCTGAGCACATCATTATTAAAAACAATCTGTTTCATACACTCCATCATGTTGTATTCTTCATCACACTGACCCTCGGTGCAGTGGATGCCTCTAGCTTAGGCAAACATTTTTTTTTAACCTTTTTTTGTGAACCCACCGCCTGCCAATATAGATGATTTCGAATAAAAATAAAATTTTATTTTTGGCCAATTAGCGCACCCGCTGCCACAAAATTTCAGAAAAAAATAAAAGTTTTACTTTATTGTTATTACACCCGCTGCTGCCATGAAATATCCAAATATAAGATATGTATATTTCTTCCTAATTAATATAAATAAAAAGTATTTAACCATCCCATTACTACAATGATTACACATTGGCCAATAAAATTTTATTTTTATTTTCTCCTCCATCTGGATGTTTTTGGCAAAATCATTTACTAAATAAGAAAACAATTTTTTTTTTTTTTTTTTCGCTGTCCTCTGACGATCTTTGAAAAAATAAGTTGGTGAAACAATGTATAAAAAATGTCTTGCCTTAAGATGACAGAGGAGAAAAGAGAAAGGAGAGAGGGAGAGGGGGGAACGGTTGTTGCAACGTAATGATGGATTGGGCACTCAACCATAAATTTGGCATTGGCCTACATTTTTTTTAAAACCAAGAACATTTTAAAAACAAGAAAACAATTAATTTACCTATTGCTGCTTTCCCCCATATTTCGACTTGTTTTTTCTTTGTTCTGTTATATGATTTATTCATGTTCAGGATATTTTTTGGTGATATTTGGTTCCTTTTCTCTCCTTTGGTTCTTTTCAATGACAGCTTTTTCTTGGCTTTCATCATATCTAAAAATTAGAACAAGATTAAAACAACATAAAAATATTACTCAAGCTAAATTTGTTGGTTCTTCTATTTTAAAAAAAATAAAAAGCTCATTGATATTTTACCTCATCCTCAATTTGTTCTTTATTTTGTTCTTAATAATTTATGCAATTTCAGCTTCAGTGTTCTTATAAAATGTGTTCTTATAAAAAAAAAAAAAAAGGTGTATATAGTAACACTATTATTAATTACAGTAGAGACTTGTGCAGTATGCCTAGGTGAACGAGTGTCCTGTTATGTAGTTGACTTGTGTGTTAGGCCGATATGGATTCTGGATTTATTATAGACGATATAATTACCCTGTGTGTATAGTATTAGTAGGCCTGCTGCGGTTAGTCCAGCACACCATCCATTTATGAATGATTCTGAATTGAACAAGGCCTAGAGACCTACTTACTACTCTATACCAGGAACAGTGAAATTACAAATTAAAAAAAAATACAAATTGAAATGAAATTTCAATGTTCCCTGTCAATAACTAACTCGACTAAAAAACTATGACAGGCTCAATTCAATACGAACAGGCTGAGAACAGCCAAAATGAACTATATTTCAGACACTGAAAACATTTCTAAGCATTCAAGGTGATTCAGAAGATACAAAATTCGGATTATATGATGCAAGAAACAAGAACACTTTTTCAGCTAGGCCTAGGCTCGCGCATATATTCAGCTAGGCCTATGGCCTACAAGAGCGGTCATGCAGCGTTATCTCATACCAATCAGCAATGCCTTGATTGATTAGGGCATCGTTAGGCCTAGATAATCTACTCACCAGCAGCACCATATCTTTTATCATATAACAAATACAAGGTATATAGACTGAAAATACAATATACAAAAAGGAGAATTCCTCCAAATTTAATCAACGAAAGCCTCATTATATGTAATAATAACTTTCAGGAATTCAGCTGTTGTCACCATGCATGGAGGTCGCCATATTTGTTTTGTTTGGAAAGGTTAAAGGTTATACAATACATACACACATGGCGGTCGGTCGACCCAGTATAATTTCAGTGTGGTAGCAAATAAAGCAATGTATTTCGTTGATTAAATATTGATTATCCGCTTATTCTACTATCATGGAAACCGGAGATACTATAGTTGATGTAGGTGCAACTGTACCTACCGGTTTTGAGTACCTAATAAAGGAGGAGTGTGCAGAAAAACTTCAGACCCAGGCCCAGCATCGAAGAGGGAAAGTTTACTTTCCAATCAAATTTGAAGACTTGAAAAAGGTTATACTGTAATCATATTGTATCTGTACACTACTATTCTATGGCTATGCTAGCCTAGGTGTGGTGCCTCTTGGTATACGTAGTTATTTAGGCTATTTAGAATAGATTACATTTTCATTAGCAATTATTCTTAAAATTTATCATGTAGAGCAGAGTCTAAATATCCTTTCTGAAGGACGAGGATGGCACTAACTTTACCAAAATCTACAAAAGAACGCACACAAGAACATCTCACACCCATGTCCATTAATTTTTAATGCTGATCTAACTCGATCTTAACGGAAAACATGTTCTTTCAGTAGGATGGTAGGTCATCCAATCAGGGATAATTAGGCCTATATACTGTACGAAAAAGTGATTATTATTACATAATAATGTCTTTTATTTTAGGTTACCACATTGAGAGGAGTTGACAATATTTATGTTGTTGGTAAAGAGATAAAAGATGAAAGGCTTCTCAAAGAGAAGGTAAGTTATCCAGAAATATTGATTTATAGACAAAAAATTGTTGGAACAGCACATCCTGTGGATGACAATGGCTACTGCTGCTCCAAGCTTTGTTAAAAATTCTAATGGTAATTTCATAATTTTTAAATTTTGTTGTAGATGTCTGCCAAAAATGTTAAAAAAAATATTTATATACAATCATATATCAATAAAAACAACAAAGTTTTTATGTTTGATAAACTTTATTTTATTTAAATTTTATAATCCATAATTTCTTCAGCTCATTCTTGCTTTATTACTTTTTGTTATATACCTTTTTTTTTTAAAGGACCTGTAACTAACCTGCAGGTGAATGTTCTTTTTAGGTTTTGGACTGAAAAAAATAAAAAATAATATACAAAACATTTTTTTACAATCATGCAAGGCTCAGATTTTAAACTCATTGGACCATCTTCTTAGGATGAGGCGATAAAGTTTCTCGTTGATTTCACCGAATCGTTCAACTGGTTGCCAGTTCTGAAGGCGTGGCAGTCATTCAATGGAACAAATTTTGACCTGTCTGTGCCAGACCAGGAGTCTAGTAGCGAACAACGCAACGTCCCATCATTTCGTGTCACTTGCACAAGGTCGGGAAAAAATCACAAGTTTGGGTCACCAGATGGTGCTTGTCACGTCGGTGGGAAAATCAATGATATATACCATTGGCCGGTTAAAATGAAGAACTCGGATTTGGATATTTTAGTTGAAATATCAGACGACAGCGTCATCTTTGGAATCGCACTGACGAGGGAAAGTCTACACAGAAGGAACATCACACATTTTGGGCCAACAACGCTGCGGCCTACAGTTGCATATGGAATGCTAAGGTACATCCTATATCAATGAAAATATGACTATTTCAATTTATTATTTATCTATGAGTTGAATATTTTTACTTAAAATTTGCCTTTTCAATGAAATGCACAGAAAGGGATTTGAACCATAACCTCAGATTTAAAAGCCTACTCCACTTTTACAGTGAAGATAACAAGAATCAGTCAAGTTCATTTTTTATTTTCCTTATGTAATTATTGACTTACCTATTGCAGACTCAGACTCGCTTAATTACCTTTTAAAAGAAGTGCATTCATAATCATTGCTTTTTTTAAACCACAGACTAGCAAGTCCACAACCAGGTGATGTAGTTTGTGACCCCATGTGCGGAGGAGCTTCTGTCACCATAGAGGTAAATTGACAATAAAATCACATTTGAACATTCACAAAATATTAAAATTACATTGAAAAAAAAAAACTTAAATCAGGTTACTGTATTATTATATTCTCTTCTAGTTGAAATATTTTTTAATATACAATTTACATAATCGTCATAGTCCTTTAGTTTACTTTTAATGAAAAAAAAGTAAATTTATGTGGCTTTTGAAGTCTATTTTTAACTGTATTCTCTGTTTGTTTTTTTCTCTTCTTAGGGGGCATGTGCATGGGAGTCCAATTATTTCTTGTCGGCGGATATCAATCATGTTGCAACTGAACGCTCAGTTGCAAATCTTAACGATATTGCAGCTTACAGGAAAGAACAAAAAAGGCAAGTATTAAGGTTTTTAGTGGCATTGCAGGTTAAATCAGGTCGTGAAGACTATGCTGCTACCTCGTTCCTCACCAATGCCAAACACTTTCTAACAAATTTGTAAACTTTATTTGGACAATAATACCTCTGAGGACTCAAGACTGATTTTGCAGTTTTCTATTTTTATTGACAACAGATTTGAAAAGAATTTAATTAGAAATATAGTTTCCAAAATGGTGGGCACACACCTTGAAGTTCTTGTGCCTTGATGTGTAAAGCCTCCATTTTCTTGGCTTGTTGCTATCACAATTTTTACTTTTTTCCAATTCAAGTTGGCACAGATAAAATTCTTTTGACTCCTGTTTAGCTACTGTTACATTTAGCCTTCCACAAAATCCAAGTTAATAGGTTATTTTTTTTTTATCTTCACAGAGGTGGACTTATGAATGATGTGTTGCGATGGGACGTGTGTAACATCCCTTTGAAAACAAACTCTGTAGATATTGTTATCTCAGATATTGTAAGAGATTAAAATTCGTAACTGATTTAGTGAAATAACACACATATTAAAGGCACCCCTAAAAAAATTTCTTCCTGTGAACACAATTTGATAAATTCGGGAAAAAAAATCAATTTACATGTAGATATCAGAATCCAGTACTTTTAAGCAAGTTTATAACACTTAATGTTTTTTTTCTCTCTTCATTGACATACTGCATTTGGAAATTATCAGCCATTTGGAAAGAGGTTTGTGTAAAAATTTATCAATATTTTCTTTCAACTTTGAACTACAGTAGTTTGTAGAGTAACAAATTTAACATAAAACTATTAGCATAATTAGCATTATTACAGTAGCTCAAATTTATAAAATCTGTATTGCTTCTACCATATTTGCATAAACTGTAGACTGCTATGATGATTTTATATTCTCATATCGTTCTATCTTCAATCTTGCATTGTCTAGAATGGGCTCAAAATATAAGAACTGGCAGCTGTATGAAGGTGGCCTTAGAGAGATGGCAAGAGTGTGTCGACCTTCGACCGGGAGGGCAGTGTTGCTTACACAGGACAAGAAATGCATGCACAAGGTAATCAAAATAGATAGCCAATCAGAGTATGTCATTGTCCTACTAACACACATGAATATGTGCCTTTTTTGTGGGTGGCTTAGCGGAAAATTCCATCAATTCCTACTCAAATGCTTTAATTTTCTAGCATCATCATAATTTTTTGTGCATAATTCAATTTTCAGACTTTGAATTTGTTGTCCCACTTGTGGCGCAGGAAAACTCAATTGTTCATCAACTTGGGAGGCATGGCAGCTTGTGTTTACCTTCTCCAACGATGCATGGATAGATCAAAATATGAAGGTAGCACTGAAAACAGATGGACGACAGATGGCTCTGGGGATCAAGCTCCAAAAGAAGAACCAGATGTGGAGCATTAGAAATGATAAAGCAAAAACCATTAGACTTATTTTTATGTTTTAATTTGTGTTTAAAAGTATTTTAAATTTCTTCTTTAAAAGTATTTTAGGAACCATTCGATTTAGTAGTCTTCACAATGAACCCCAATAATTTAGGTGCAACACCATCATACAGCTTAGTATGACCAGTCAGATGCAGTCTGTAGAAAACGCCCTGTTCATTAATACTTGCGATTTAAGGACAAAGGGTTTACACTTATAACTTTAATACCAAAGTATACAATGCCCCAGTGAGAAATGTATATATGTATGTGTTTAGAGTTGAGCTTCAACATTAAAATGAAAGGTGTTATTATTTTACTGTACAGTACTTGGTTCTTGTAGTATTCCATATACAGTGCAGCTGATATCAGCTAAACTGGGATGATTGTGCAAGTGTGATGTCTACAGTCAGTGGGACAAAATAAGGAAAATGCTTTAAAATGAAAATAAATTAAACCAAGGGTGCACTATTGGCATAAACTTCCTTGTTATAGAGAAGTCATACCCCTTATGGCGGGAGCAGCAAAACTCATCGAGCGTGCTACTGATAGAGAAATAGACAAAGTAAGGAATATAACCTAGTACATTGACATTCAAGTAACTGTCCAAATATTTATTTCACAAACATACAGTACTACATATATAATATGAATTCAGTCAAGGTTTATAGGAATAAATGAACAATATATGTCCATGCATAGGGGCTTGTAATCTATACAATATGAATTTGCAATGTTATTGGCTTATGAATGCAAAAATCGCAAACTTTAAAACAATAGTATATAGCTTTATGAATATGCAAAATTTAATTATGAATGTTCAAAACTGGCAACCTAAATTATAGTGTATAGCAAATAAATATGCATAGTTTTTTTTTAATTGGACATTAGTATATATTTAAATATGCATACATTTGCATATTAAACTTTAAAATGGCTTACAAAACTATTATTTCAAAATTGTTGAATCATAACAAAACAATGGGATTCCTGAAAATTGCATGTGTACAGTTGGTAATTAATAATTTTTAAAATTTGCATTTTCATAACTTTACTAAGAATTAAAAAGAGTTGTCTAATGTATGTATAAGATATATAATCATAGAAAAAACTTCTTAAAAATTAACCAAATCATTAAATAGTTAATGGGACGAAAAAATAATTAAGATACACAGAATGACCTGCTAAGAAATTTTCACACCTTTTACTACACAAAACAGATTACCAGCCAACAAATAAGATTCTATGTAAAAAATCTGAAGTAACTATTAGTACACATTCTTTAATTGGAGAAGAAAATTCTTTCTAATTTTCAGTTGAATGCTAAAAACTTGGAGCAATTCAAACCATTATTTTTTTTATATTGGGGACAATATATAATTAGAAATTGCCTGCACCCCTTTTTTGACACTTTAATCGTCAAAGAGGAAATAGAAATTATGGTAATACAGTTGAATTTGCCTAAGTCAAATCCAAAATGGAATTGAAAAATTATTCGACTTCGATAAAATTTGACTTAAAGATTGTTAATAAAAAACACAATTTGGCATGTAAAATAAGATTGACTTTAGAAATTGTTTAAGGCAAAGTCAGCTTAGGCAAATTTAACTTTAATAGCAAAACTTGATAAACATATGCACACACTCTACTCATCTGACCCCCTAAACTAAACTAGCATGGCAGTTGAAACAATATGCAAAGCCTAAGCACATTAATTTTATATTTTTTTTTTATGTGCACAACAACCTCAAAAGTACAAATGGACGGAACAAAATGAAAATTAATTGCACAATACATTGACTATAAAAAAAAATGCAACATTATATTATGCATAGTTAAAAATTTCTGTTATATATGTAACAAAGCTGTAATATTATTTTTAATATGATAATTTAAAAATTGCAAAATAATGGACGAAAACAAACAATATGCACCAATGAAACAAATTCAATTATCTTAACTTTTCGTGCTATAACTACTGTTGCTATGGGTATTGTTGCTATGGGTACTGATACTAATACATGTTGCAAATACACCTGTTGCAATGAATTGTGGGAAAGGAATACAAAATATTGCCCGTTTCAAAAACTAGTACACTGAATACATACAAACAAAAAGTATTTAATGTTATTGTAAAGGACACAAAGAATAACTTAAAAAATATTTGTTAGTAGCTTAAAAAAACCCCTATAACACAACACGTCAATAAACACACTGTTTACTGTTTAAAATTGTAATATTAAACCAATTAATGTATTAGCTCAATACCTACAATGGATATATTTAAATTCTAATAAATATATAAAAAGGGATTTTTTCAAGGTTATTTAGTTCAAGGTTTGGTTAATATAAAATATTTCACACTAATATCGATATTTACAATTTAATATTATATACAATATTATTTATTAATTATATATTTTTTAACATTTTAATATTCTAATCACATCAATCTATTCTGTTCTTTCTAAATTCACCAAAAAATATAATAAAATAAATAAATTTAAAAAAAAATTTCAAAAATCTAATATTAAAAATACAAATGAGCACCATAGGTATGTATTTGAAGTAATTTTTGCCTGAATCAATGTCATTAAATATTTTATATATTCACATCCTTGTAAAAGAGAATTTTGTTGTCATAAAATTAAATAATATATTTAACTGTTTAGGTTGATCAGTGTATTGCACGAGATACCAAGAGAAAAAACCTAATGCTTGCATGCCAATTCTACAGGCACGTGTTAAATAGAGTCTACTTATATTCAGACAAAGTAATTTCTTCGCAGAGTGTCCATGTACTGGTTATTTTGTTGCCGGGCACTGGCACTTCTTGACCTGTCAAATCCATTGGCCAGATTCTCTCGTGCTTCTCCGATATTTGGACCAATCTCCACGGAAGCTGAAACCAAATACAATCAATTCTGTAATATTATGAACAATATATTCATCGAAAATAATATATAAAAAAAATATTTTTAAATGGCTGTCTCACATCTGTTGTATTTTATTAGTATATGTTCTGTTTCACTAGGCAGTAAAAGAAAATTCCCTATCAAGGCACAGCAGTGCCAATTCTGGGATTGAGCCAATTTTGTGGAAGCGGTTGGCCTACTTTTGAGAATTGGTCCCTCAACTAAAATCTGTAGGTTCAAATTTTGCTCTGTATTTTTGCTCTACCAGGTCAATACTCCTAGATACATCACTGTGGGCAAATCTCTTTGTCTACCTTGGTCTCTCTACCCAGGATTTGAAATTGGTACCTGATAGGATGCGGACAATGCCGTAGCCACGATTTTCAAACAGTGCAGGACAATACTGATGTGGACCCACTCTACGTGTAAATTCAAATAATTCTGACTCATTTTCATAAAAGTTGACCCATTTTACGCAAAAAATGTGGACCCATTGTCTTAAAAGTTTTGCCTTAATTTCATGCAAAATATGGGAAAACTGGACCCTTTTTTCATAAAGCTGACTCACTTTGTGCATAAAACAGCATAATTTAGACCCATTTTTAAAATATGGACCCAATAAAACATTGTGTGGGACTGTCCCAACAGCTGGCTACAGCATTGGATGTAGATGTTCTATGTTGTTTATTATTCTGAATATTACTTGGAATACCTCGCAAGGATTGGAGGAAATTGCACATTGTGGACACTCTTTCTTTCCCACAAAATTTAATAATTTCATTCTTTTTTACCATAAAAAAAAGTTTTAAAATTTTAGAATGTATTTTCCACCTTACCTGATCTCAGGTGTCTTGAAATACTTTTATCAAGTTCACTCCACACCTGTAATTATAAAATTGATTGATTTATATTGTGTCTATACTCTCAAGAGAATATGCACTAGAACTTTAAGAGACACTTCTCAAGAATTCAAACTTGTGAACAGTGATTTTGATGTCAGTGCCGATGTTACTGTTGACAAAGATATTGTTGAAGATATTGATATTAATGCTATTGATTATGACAATTTTGATAGGGATGATGACAATGATAAAAATTTACATGAAGTGCAGATGTCAGCATACATGTATAGAGTTCTTGACTGTATTAACCAATCATAAGACGGAAAGTTCACTGTCTCAGACGAATAAATTATATTAAATGTGAGCCTGCAAAAAATACACGACAACAGGTTGTGAAATTGTATGCCTGGTTACCTTTTCAGTAAACGAGTCTATTTCTGTATTATTTCGAGGATTTCGCTTTAAAATTGGTGAAGTCGGTGATATACTGGCTTCTTTCAAATGCTGATTTCTCTGTCGTTCAAAGCTAAAATTTAAAAAAATACATAAAGAATACACATGTAAAGAATACATTTAAAAATATTGTTGTGTTCAAAATGGTACTAATTCAGAACTGGCATATAAAAAAAAGTATGTTTTTTTTTTTTTGTAACTTACTTGAGTTTGCTTTCATAGTTTGATGACCTGTCCCTCTCGTTCTCAAGATCTCTGGACATTTTCTCTTTCGATTTTAATTCCCTTTCATACAGCTCCTGAAATTAAGCATATGAGGAATTTAGCTTGTACACTACTTGAATGCTATGGAATGGATGGTTCTATTATTAGTAGGGTACTGAAAAATAGCAATAGTCGTCCACATCAGGATACACAGAATACTTGCCAATTTCTTGTAATGATGTATCAGAAGTACGTTTATGTACATTTGAATAGAATTGAAATATTTAATATGTAATAACTGACCTTGAACCTTGCAGCTTCAGCCTGTGCCGAGTCCTTCTGTGTCTGAATATCATGATACGTTGATCTTAGTTTCACTAGTTCAGCCTAGAAATCAAAAGTTAAAAAAAACAAACCAATGATTCAACAATATAATGAAGGTTGAGTAGTAAATTGAGTTCTATATGAACCATGGAGACCATTCTGTTTACAGTCAGTAGGTTACTATTAATTTCATTAACAAACTTTTTAAGTGAAAATAGCAGAGTTGCTATGAGTGGTAAGAACATTGTTCATAGTGCTTCCACCCTTCTGAGGGGCAAAGAATATTAATAAACAAACAAGGTTCCAAGTCTCCCAGAAGTAGTGGAGTCTCCTAGAAAACGGGATGGCCTCTTGCACTCCCAGCAAGCAATCAAGAATATCCTGTCATTTCACTGGCAAATAGAGACAGGCTTCAAAATCCTACCTTTTGACTGGTGATCGTGTTATCTAGCTCTTTCCTCATATCCTCCTCGTTTGAGTTTCTAAGTTGTTCTAATTTTTCTCGTGCTTGAGCCTGCTCTTCCAAGTAAGCGTTCACCTGATCTAACTTCTCGTTAATCTCTATACGAGCCTGAAAATGTTTTTAAAAAAGTTAATGAAAAATCATTCAAGAAAATACTATTCTCATCTGCCCCTAATATCATGTGAACTTGGACATACACTATAATATATTCTTTGTCACATACTGTTTGATCACATATGTCTGATAAAGCACAGCTTTGCTAGACTTCCCTCTCACAATTTGTGTGATCACATGTTCTGACCATACATTCTAGTAACGTTTGATCAAACACTGTCTGCTGAGTGACTACCTTTCCATATAATCTTCATAGTGAATATGGTAGTCTCCAGCGGAATTCCCTAACAGCGGGAACTGTTATTCTTAGTAACCGTGGCCTCAGGGGGTGATTTCATTAAAAATTTTGGTCTGTGCATTTGAATTCAATGCCTGGGAGACAAAACTCCTTGTGACACTGTGGCGTATTGACATATATATACAGCAATGATGATTATTATTTTTATTTAGATGAATATTCTGGTTTACTTACCTTGGCATCCAGTTCTTGTTTGTATCTTTCTAATTCACCTTTCTCTATAAAATCTTGATGAAGGGCACCCTATAAAAAGTATGTATATATTTCAGAATAGAGAAAACATAACTTGACAAGCACTTTAAAAAATAAAATACAGAAATTACAAAAAAACTATGAAGTGATTCAACAATGACAATGACAAAACATTCCAGGAGAAGAACAAGCAAATCGATAATGGTAGGATAGATTGTACTTTATAACAGTGATTATTCATTGTATACAATTTACCTTCAGTACATGTAATTCCTCTTCAAGTCTCTTCTTTGATTTTTCTAGCTTCTCTTTTCCCTAAAAATAATCATGAGATAATTTACAAACAATAATTACTAGCATTAGGAGTAGACTGTTGGTTAATATACTAGCCTTACAATTAATTTTCTAATATATTATAACAAACAATTTCATAAGGAAATTGACAATAATTTATTCAAATGTTTAAATAACTATAAAGTATCACTTACTTTTCCTATTATCTTCACAGAAGATGCATCTAGAAATAAAAGATAAAATTCAAGAAAAGTTAATGATAGGGGGATACTGTCTTTAGTGTCTGTAGAGTTGCACATAGACTTTTGTATTACTGTCTGTTAGACAAAGTCCGAACAAACACTGTTGTATGGCTATGCATGGTCATGATGTGCCTATATATGATCATGATGTGATGTCATCATGACCATATTTAGGCATATCACATGTTTTGTCAAATAGAATGGGCTCAGACAAAAACCTGATAGTGTATATGTACTTAGCTCAAGGTATCTGATGCCAGTGTAATAACAGAAAAAAATAGTTATATGTATAATATTAGAAAGTATAAGCAATTTATATACAACAGTTATAGAAAAATTTGTTCATGTTAAACAATTTCAAATTGTCGTCATTACCTCTCTGTAATTGGCGGTTGATAACCTCAAGCTCTGACCTTAGTTTGTTTTCTTGTTCTAATTGCTGACTAACATCCTCCAACTATAATAAACAAGTAAAATTATCAGCTGCAATTATTTTCATTTAATTTACAAAATGTACACATATGAAACAGTATATAATATTTTCATTCTGTTCAACACCAGTCTTTAACATCATTTCATACTTTAAACGTTGTGATGCTCTAAAATATACAAAATCGATCTCTAGGGAATGAGGACTATTGTTAGGAAGACGGTTCAATTTACTGCATGGGTTGGACTATTCTACTCTATTCTAAGGGGTGGTCCATTTCGTGAACAAAGGTAATTAATCTGGTTGCCCAGGTAATTATTCGCGAAATAGACATTTAAGTCTCAATATGAGGCTTAACTGTCATCACTTACCTGTCTTCGTAACGATGCAACCGTGGCATCCATGTTGATTCTTTCACGTTCAAAATCAGACTTTATACTATTGATACGCAGTTCAGGCATCTCCAGATCCTGTCAAGTAAAGAGATAAACAGAAAATAATACTACAAACCATAATGTCAATTTCAAACTTGAATTTACTGATCAAAGCTGCAATAGCATTTTGATAAATTCTTGAGAGGTACCTTCTTGATCATTCCATAAGTAGCAAATAAATGGTCAGATAGACATACCCCATCACATTTTTACTAGGTGTCTGGAAAACAGCTTCCAAGACAGGGCTACCCCAGAGTACAGACTATCGAATAGGGTAGTGACAGGGGTCTTAATTTGGAAGAAACCACTTCAAGGTACTAAATAAATTTTGTTGATTTTGCTGTGTGTGGTGATATCTATGGCCAGCAGATACCAGGGAGGCAAATCACACAGTAGTAATAACATAGAATTTGCAAAAGATGGCCCAGTATCCAGGAGACTTCCAGTTGCAGACCGTGTCAATTTCCAGAAGGCTTCTACGACTCTGAGGAGGCTTAGGACCCTAGTAGCACTAACACTTTTTACCACTTTCAATAAATACCTCACAATTTCAATTAATAAGGAAAATTATAATAAGCATTTATAATTTTGTCCTATCACTAACCTTCAATTTTTTCTTGGCCAGTTTCAGTTTCATCTTGGTGGTGTTCATCTCTTGTTCCAGCTGTCGATATCTGTACCAAAATATAAAAAAAACATTTGAAACAACACACAGAATAGATTAGCAAGGATACACTGAAAAATAATACAATATATTGGTCTATATTTGTTTCAAGATCAACAAAATACCTTTGAGTTTCATTTTCAAGTTTACCCTCCACTACTCTCTTTAATTCAGCCATTTTCCTGGTTCTTCTCCTTTCCTGAAATAATAAAAAACACAATTTTGTTATTTTAAAGATCAATTTAAAAACCCTAAAACATCAATAAAAAAACCCTTATAGCTTATTTAAAAAGATTATATATGTCATAAAAAAATGAGGCAATTTTGCTGATTTACTAAAAAGTCTATGCAAACAATATAGAAACTATATTTTACATGAAAGTATACTACAAATTTTTTATATTAGTATTACAAATATGATGATAAAACATCACAGAAAAATTCAACTTACTTCTTCAACCTGTTCCATTATTCCAGCTCGTGATCTTTGCAGCTGAGCCATCTGTTAAAAACAAAGAAGACAAAAATACACAACAATTAAAATGGAATGACTACATTTAATATCAATGGGAACACACCTATGCGGCCGTCCATTGGCAAAACAACGCAACTTAAAAATATAATAGCAGTTACAATGTTTTGCCATGGGACGGCCATATGTAGCATAATTAAAATGCACTTCTTGTTCAGGGCCAAGGTTGCTATGGTAAGTAATTGTGCCCCAACAGAGTATAATATTAATAATTTCTGAAATGCCTGCATGGCAGCCAATTACTTACCTTGATACCAAGACTTGACCTAGATTTGACCTCTGTTTCCCACATATCTTTGTGTTCTTCAGCTTCCTTAGCAAACACACTTCTTGCAGCAGCTTCATCCTGGATTAAAAAAAACAAAAGCAAATGTCATAAAATTGATAATAAATGAAGATTATGAAAAGTATTAAAATCATAAATCAACAATGGGACTGAGTATGAAAATGAGTTGATATGTTAGCTAATTCAGGTTGAGAATTGGAGTAAACAAGCGAGTTTTCAAGTTGAATTAAGCAAAGGTAAATACAAGGTACAAACACATACTTACAGTTAGCTTGCCTTCCATGTGAAGGTTAGCTGAATTCAAGTTGTTTACAATGGCCTCCATTCCTGTCTGCATCTGAAAATAAGTAGTAAAACAGATAATAAACAATCAAAACAAATTTTTATTCTGTTTCTTTTAATATATTTCCAAGTTTCAAGTATTTTTATCTTACCTTATGTGCCTCCTGTAAATTCTTTTCAAGAGTTTCGCAGCGCGCACTTTCCTGTTTCAACATCACCTCAAGACGTGCATTCTTTGTTTCAACTTCACGTAAGCGATCATCCAACTCTGCCTGTAACCACGTAAATAAAAAACAATTACTCTTAATAACTACCTAGATAAATAATTTAATACTTCAGTACTTTCTTGGTTTATAAATCTTAAACAAAAATATCTGACTTTTGAAAAAATCAAACATCCTAATTATAAACTTCATCATGTTCTACCTTCTTTTCTTGTTTACAATTTCAGAAGGCATCCAAAATTAATTCACCCAAAAGCTAATAATAAGTAGTCAAAGAGATATATTTTCCATCAAGGGTTATTCAAGGAAATATTTAGGTCTAAGTTTCATCAGTGCAGTCGGACACCACTGTGTTTGCTTCATTATGGGTTGATATTCAGGCAAATGGCAGAAGTATTCACTCTATCGAGTAAATGCTCTTGTTTTATAATTAATTCATATATTTGCTATAATACTTTCACCACTTTGCATTTGTGTTGTTAAATCTTATGAAATATAGCAATTTTTCTTTTCTAAAGTATTTATATTACACAATATTATTACTGCAGTCATCTGTGCTTTAGTATACACTGTAAGTACGTAAAAATACAGCAAGATACCTTTTGCTGAACTGCGACCTTGGCAGTAGATAGTTGTTCCGAAGCTTCAAATTTAGACCTCTCTGCTTGGCTTAACTTGTCCTCTAATTGCTCAATCTTTGTAATCAATGTATCATGGTCACGTCCAGACAAGATCAACTGCAAAGTTAGGGATAAAGATGATACATAAAAGATACATAATTCAACCAATCTTACAGACTAGAAAAAATTGTACTTCTCCTACGAAATAGTTTAGGTTATGCTTAAAACTAATTCTCATAATGAGTTTTAAGAAGTACAGCTGATATTGGAATTCTCTTGTAATTCATACTGTTTAAATTTAGACTAACACGGCCACACTTCTTATTCAATAAATATTAAAACCATTCTATGATTTCAATCGTGATATAAATCAGATATTTTATACCTTCTCCTCCATTTGTTCCAGTTGTTTCATAAGTAAATTCTTTTCTCTCACAATTGCTTCTTGTGTCTAAAAAACAAACAGTTATTTAATATACGATAAAAATTAATGAAAAACAAAATAAAAATTTGATATAACACATATCAAGGTAAAAAAAATATATGTGCTCCTACAGTGCATACTGTTAGAACTTCTAGTGGGTCAATAATTAATTAAAACGGGCAGAGATGAAGAAAAATGAGGCAATGACTAGTGTGACTTACATTGACAGCATGATGAAGATGAGCCTCTGCAACAGATAACTTGGTTGTTGTATCCATTAAATTCTGTAAGATTATTTTCAGAAATCAGATAACATGGTTAAATTCATTGATCATGGTAACAACACAATTCGACTATATATTAGAAAAAAATGACGCAATAGGGGAGAGCAGCTTAGCTCAATCAGCTAAACTGGTGGTAGCCACTGCGTGTGTGCTGAATCGCAGAGGTCTTTTGGTTTCAGGTTCAATTCAGCTTGCTGCTCTCCTTGTGACAATAGTGCACCCGGGGCGGATCTAGGTTCACATTTGGGGGAGGGGGGTCAAACTTTTTTTCACAAAAATGCCCAAAAAAAGGGGGGAAAATTTTGAATCTTAGATGGCAGGAAATGAGCTTTCCAGACTTCTGAGTTGTCTTTTAATGACTTTTAAGTTCTTCAAAATTCATGGTTTTCCCCCTCTTGAAAATAGACAGGTAATTACTTTCTTATTCTTATTACAGTAAATAGGCCTATTTATGTGTGTATACGTACATTAAAAAAAATTGAGTTGCTTACGTATTCTTTTTTCCATGAATCGATAAACCCAAAGAAGAAGGGGGCCCTCCCCGGGAAAAATTTGATCACTAGATGGCAGGAAATGAGCTTTTCCGACTTCTTAGGTGACTTCCTCCACTTGAAAATGGTCAGGTAAATTTTTAATTCTTATTATTGTAAATATTAGTAGCCCTACTATGTGTGTATGTACAGTACATAACAAAAATTGAGTCGCTGCATACATATTCTTTTTTTAATAAATCGATGAATCCCAAATAAATAATTTTTTTTTTTCAAGGGGAGGGGAGTCAGGACCCCCTGACCCCTCCGCCAGATCTGCCAATAGTGTACCATCTATTGGATAAGACATTTAAGCTGTCGGTCCTGTGTGCATTATAACCCATGTGCATGTGAAAGGACGCGGTACACTATTTGCAAGGTCTAACGGATTGTCTCGTATAAATTCGCCTGAATAATCTTAAGCCAGGCACAAACTGTGTTCTATGACGATTGTACTACTGTGGGCCAACGTATCCACGTCTGCTCTGTCAGTGTCTGACGACATGACGCCCCCTGCTGATTGTCAGTGGCAGCCTCAGAAGATCGCCAACAAAAATAATTTGTTGCATACGTCAAATTGCGTTCTCCATGGTATCGCGTCGGCTGACAACCATCGAGTGCAGCTTTGGATTACAAGTTTCTAGCTGCATCCCTTCCTATTGCTTTACCTGTTGAAGTGCTTTAGCATCCTGGTCCTTCAAGCTGCCTGTTTTGTTTCGTTCTTGTAATTCATTCTTCAACTGAGAAATTGTTTGTGACAAATTTTCATTCTTTTCTTCCAGCAACACCTGGGCCTACAAGTAAAAACAACAACTTGCATAATGACTGGTAATGCAACACTAAATTAGTCAAAATATTAACTAAGGATTACAATAATAAGAACAACAAAATTTGGATTTTTTAACCACACAAAAGCATACTACAGTATAGTGATGTAATTAGTTAAAACTCTATTGGTTGTGCATTGAAACAGATATTATGTACAATATTCTGATCTGAATCAGTATGTAGCCCTCTAGTATTTTAAAAATAACCTATAATACTGAAACACATAATATATGTAATGAATATGTGGCAGAGACAAGCCAAACCAGTCGCTGGTCGCAAAAAAAAATCAATTTTGAGTAATATTAACACAGGGTTAAACAGTAAAATAAAAGCCATAAAATGGTTTTAAAAAAATCATTCAAATCCGGCATTTCCTTATGAAGTTACAAGCGTTCAAACATACAGCTGCTTAAAGAACTATATATGAGAAATCAGCCTCCAAAGTTTATAATTACAGGCATTTCTCATGCAGAAACTATCATGAAATCCTTAAAAAGTGTTCTTTTAACATAGAAAATGGGGAAAATAACAGCATGGCATGATGTATAGATATATAAAGGTTAGTTTAGTATAATAGAACAGATTTTTAAATTTAACATTCTAGCATATTTTGGCAATTTTCTCTGAAAAATAATTTGCGACGAGTGACTGGTTTGGCTTGTCTTTGCCACATATTTTTTGTCACTATCTTAAAGCCCCATTCCCGGCAAAATTTCAATTTTTAAGACAAATCTAATTTTTGTATAATGTTATAAAGATTTATAAATGTAATACGGAATTGCTAGTTTAACTGAATTTAGACATTCCTAAGAATGAAAAAAATGTAAAATAAGACTGAAATTTGATTTTTTTGTGTTCCACACAAAAAATAAATGCGGATGAATTTTTCATGTTGATTTTGCGATAGGTCGTGAGAAGAAATATCGTAGATGCCGAAAACATTAGCCTATCCAACGCTGCTGGCTAGGCCTAGCCTTACCTTGATTTTAGGTTCTGTTATCACACGTAAAAACGGCCGACATGATATTTTCCTTGCTAGTATTGACACTTGTGAAATATAATATTTCATAGGAATTATTACAAATTTGTTAAAAAACTGATTCTGACTGAGATTTTGACACTTAAACAAACATATCTCAGGATAACCGAACGACCGCATTGTGCGAGATGCGAAGTACAAAAAGTAATCTCATTAGAGAGGGCACACTTTATTGACTGTATAAAGTATACCAGGAGTATACATAAAAGCGAGAGTATTCCAGTGGATGCGATCTACAACCTCTGAATTTGCCTAGTAACGATGAATTCGTCGAGAAAATGGTAATATTTTATGAGAAATAGTCTGTATTTCTCATTTTTTTATTCTTTTGCGTAAAACTAAAATTCATGCCAATATTTTTCCATGATTTATAATAATTGGAGTAATGCAAATGCATATTTTCTAAAAAAAGTCATTTTTAGTGAAATTTTGCCGGGAATGGGGCTTTAAAATGTACAATATAAAAAAAATAAATACTTCAGAAAAAATCATGATATAAAATAGAGAATGAAGTGATAAATTGATTTAGAAAAGTTAGTACTGTAAAATGAATTACATTGAACAAATTACATTAGTTCATTAATTGTGCTTTTTTTTAATAATATATGATTGAAATGGAGCATCTATTTGTATCCATCAGAATAGTGGTAGCAGTGAAAGCTTGTAAAAAAACATAGGTGCATGTTAATATACACAAATGAGTAGTGCCACTGGTAGTGTATGAGTGAGATACAGTTGTAGATAAACCCAAAAAAAAATGCATAGTGCATATTGAATGAAATGAACTAAAACAGTTATTCAAATGTCATTCACAACACTTTTTTCACTTACAGTAAGAAAGAACAATAAAAACATGTTAGATGTAAATGTCCCAGCCTGTATACTTCACACTATTGCCCCAGTAATTAGAGCATACACATATCCGGAGCAGATACTTCCCCAGGGAACTATTCCATATTGAACATTACTCCCAAACAGCTGCTTAAAACAAAGTTATAAAGGGAAGGATGAGACCCAAACACCAAGAGAATTTCAAAAAGCTTTTACGATAAATATCTTTCCATCATTTAATATATTTTGTTATTTATATTTTATATTTATTTTTTCAAACCTGGAGGCTAATAGAGCATTATAATTCAAACCCGTCAGGTTTTCATGCGTAAGTTGATATAGTTAAAGTGCCTTGCACGCACACAAGTAATCCAATTTAAGATTCGAACCCTCAACTTAACAACTGGAGGCTCAAAGCATTTACTGCCGTGTTATATATTTCAAGATGGTGTAGATCAAATCTAATAAACCTTTGAGAAAAATTAATGAAACAATCAAATCCACAACTGATATTAGTGTAATAATACTAAATGTGTGTTAGTGGTAACACCTTCTTAGCTCGTTAGCGAAAACGCAACTAAATGTGTGATAACCGTTTGACCTACCCTGTCTTTGTCGGCACGTAATGTATGAAGGGTCTCATTTAGTTTGTCCTGGAAATGGCAGAAGAAATGCAACACAACAAGGTATAAAAAAGGATAATAGCAATGGGCTACAGCAAACCTCAATCATAAAAGTGGCAACATTCCTCCTGATAGAAAGATGCTCCTGAACACATTTTCAAAGAATATATATTTTATAGACAGTACTCTTTAATAAAACAAATTTGTTTAATTGTAAAGATGTTTTTCACTTATCTAAATATCTTACCGTGACATCTGTGGCTTCCCTGTCTTTCAGATGTTTCTCGGAATGTGCCTTTTCTAGAGATTTTTTCAAGTCTGCGACATCATTCTGAGCTTCACTGAGCCTACAGTAGAAAAAACATTCATACAGATGGTGATAATTTATCAAAATCTCCTCACTCTGATTATTTTAAGCAGGTTGATTATCATGCAATTCTGTTCTACCTGCACTTTTTCATTTATTGCATCAAAATATTATTAAGTACGAAGCTCCAACTTCAAATACACTTACATCTGAATTAAATAATAAATATATTTGCTCAAATGAATAAATAATTAAATATCACTATGATTTCAGATAGCACTAGTAGTATTATCTGAGTAAACAATTTAGAACATAGAATTTTTACCTTTCAGTCGCTGTCTCGAACTTGGCAGCTAGTCTGAGTTTCTCTTCCTGCATATAAACATTAAAACACTCAATTAACTACAGTAATTACATTCCATTTTTTAAAATGATTATTTAAATAAATATTTAATAATTAATAATTAATTTATCAGTTATACATTTATTTATTGTTCAATTAAAAACTGAATTCATTACATTTTACAAATTCATGCAACATATTATTAAATGTTGATGTTTAAAACCTTAAAGTACAATAAGATTTCAACTAACCAAAATGAATTACCAGTGCTGAGAATATCACCCCATGTGCTTTATGTCACAAGGAGGAAAGGTGAGGTAATATAACAGGTAATGGATGTTTTATAGTAAGAGAAGAATTAATATATTGACCTTTTCTCGTTGTAGGAGCACATCCTGCATCTGTAGTTTGTTTGTCCGTTGGTCAAGCTCACGCTGTAATGACATCAGCTGGTTGTTACGTTCCATCAACGTTGACTGGGTGACATGAATCTGAGTCACAAAAAACAACAAAGAATAATAAAATATAATAAATAATAAGATATAATAAAATCATGATAATATTTTACTTAGCTTTACAAAGGAATTGATTATTACTTTTTAATATTAATAGCATTTCACAGACAAAATAATTTTAAATCATAGGTCTATATATACATTTGCCGACTCACCTTCAGTTGCTATTTTTAAGACCAAACTCAAAACTCACCTTTTTAACATCTGAACATGCTCAGCGCCTTTGATTTTCGATTGGATTGGATTTGGATTGGATTTATTCGGTGTAAACACCAAGGATAGCCCATGAAAGTCTAGAAGAAGACTTATTTCCAGTGGGGTCCTTCTGGTGGTGATTGGGCAGTACAAAGGGAGACAATCCCCTACTCTTTTCTGAAGAGTGTACTGCGTTCACATGGGCCATAAATGCACAGAGGACCAACGGCTTAAACATCTCATCCAAAAGACGGTGCGCTACTGTAACTTGTATTTCAGCCCTCTGGCTGAAACACAAGGAGGCAGCGATGGGAATTGAACCAGGGACCTAGAGATCGCCAGGCTTCAGCGCACACACAGTGGTTACTACCAGATTAGCCGACTGAGCTAAGCTGCTCTCAGAAGTAAACTTCGGTTTAGTGGTATTGGCACTTTATAAATGATTATAAATGAATAATGATACAAAATGCAAGATATAAATATAACACTTAATTAGAGCTAGTAACACACCTCATTCTCCATACTGATAATTCTTGTCTCAGCTGAACCAAGTCGAACAGCGTTAGCCTACAAAAAAACAAAAAAAATCAATTTTCTTTTCTTTTAAGTTGTCAAAAAAACTTTGGTTATTTTAAAGCTTTGTCTACACCATCAAATTCCATCAAAAAAAGCGCCACATAAAATTTGATGGAACACAGAGTTGAACATGTTCAACCTTTTTGATACAATTTGATGAAATGTGATATGATGTCGTCGTACCCATATATGGGCACATCACATTTTTTTGTCACATAAAATTTGATAGTGTAGACAAAGCTTTAGGCAATAAATTTGGGTTTTTGTAATACAATTTTTGAATATTTTGTTAGTAAAGGATTTAAAACTAATCTTTCTTCATCTCTCCCATTCCACATTACACCTCTTGCTTTCTATTGGTGTGGTTTTAATCAAATCAACTGAATAAGCTGTCAATAGAACTTTCTAATCAATCAGAATAGGGCCAGCAATATGCGCATATCTTATAAACAATCACATTTATATTTATTTATGCTGTCGTTTCAGTGATAATAGGAAGATTTTGATATGTTCGACAACATGACGCTAGAACAGAATCGCTCATGCGTGACCGTCCTACCAGGTGTCCTACGTTCTCTGTAAATGTAGATTTGCCCAAATTGGGTCCTAGAATCCATGCGACGATGAGAACTTGATGAGAACGTTCTCGCATGCGCAGATGACTTTAGTGACGTCATTACGTTCTACGCCTTACCGTCGTCGTGCAATCGAATACTCCCTGATATTAAATGGACAGAGCTTAGCAGAATGGTCCATGTGTATTATTTATTGTATAATGTTTTGATTTACATATACTGCAAGTTTGCTATACCTGTGTGGCATCCTTGCTCGTAATCAGATCTTGTTCTCTCTTGATTCGCATCTGTTGTGCCTCATCACGTTCTCGCTGCATAGCCCTTCAAAGTAAATTTTATACACCAATAAAGATCTCACTATTACATCAAATTCCAAATTTACAATGCTTACAATTATTATAAAATGGGGAAATGAATAATAACTACTGTATATAGCACATACAAATTCAAAAATGTTTCAAAAAGCAGTTTTGTATCATATTTCAACACCAAGTCAACTGCTTGTCAAATTTCGGATTTCAATCCAATTCAATTCAGAAAACATTAATTTCCAATTCATTTTCATAAACATAAACCGATTTTTACAAAAGAATATGAGTTTTAAAGAATTCTGGGATTAGAAGGTCCACCATAATATCTAAGCAGTAGCTCTACTCGATTATGTCATCATTGGGTTTTTCTCACCAAGGCAAATGTTTCAACACTTACTTTTCAAGTTCGGTACGGGCTTGCTGCGATTTCTCCAGCTCCCGCGATGTCGTCTCAAGCCGATTACCAATAGAATTCAGCTAGAAAAAAAACCAAAAGTATAAATGTTAGGAACAAATGCATCATAGAAGTGTCATGATGAAGACCAGAAGGAACAATGCCCAAAAACAGGCCTGAAGGAATAAAATGGAAATGGACGGAAGACTTGGAGTTAAACAGCCAGAAAAGAAACAGAAAGTATTTCAGACCTCTAGGACCAATGTCAGAAGAGGACAAGTAGGTCAATGCAAATCTAATATCTGGATCACCATGATGTTATGTCCTTGGTGTTAATTTTAATGGTGTCTCATGGGCTGTGACAGTTGTTATTAATTATTACATATTTTATGTAATTAAATATTATATGCATTATCATTCTTTGAATTGTATTGCATTGCAACTAAACAATTTAAAGAAAAATAAAATTGTATGTAAAAATACAACTAACCTCTGATATGAGCTTTCCTTTCTCACTTCTATCTTTTTCTATTTCTGAATGAAGCCTCACATTTTCAGCTTTCACGGCTGCCAGTTGCGTGTTGAATGTGTACGTTGCATGTGCTAAAGCTTCATCGTTAACATGCTGAAGAAACAAAAACCAGAGCAATAAAATCATATATTGTAGAAGTGGTTTGGTGCAGCAGAAACGGTTTCGAAGTTCAGGTTTAAATCCCTCGCTGTGCAGTTTGCTTGTACCCACTTAGATAAAACAACATTTATTTTCTTGGCATCATGATGTCATATAACTCCCTTATATGATGCCATATCACACTCATATACGCTAGGATAAATTTGCATGAAAATATTAAAGAAATACACAAAATAGATAAATGCATGTCTTACAATATCATTTTTCAGTTGTTCTATTTTGTGAGAAAGTTCTTCATTCTCTGAAGCCAGCAATCCATGGCTGTCCTTGTACTTTATCTTCTGTCTTTCATATTCAACCTGATGGAGAGAAAAACCAACATAATAAACTAATCATATATCACATAATTACTCAACAATACCTTATAAGGTCTTTGTATGGGGTGGTCACTTGGCCACTAGGGCCTCAACATACAATAACACTAAAATAATGTTATATAAATCAATAAAAAGTTATTCATCAATAAAAAATTGATTGCAAAATACCTTCAGTAGGTAAAGTTCGTCTTTGAGTTTGTCATTGGTTGACAGTGCTGTTTTTCTGTTCTCATCTGCAAGTTCAAGTCGATTGATAATCTCAGCCTGGGGATCAAGAAAATACATAAAAATCATGTTGAAAACAAAATTAATTACGAAAATTTACAATATAAAAGTAACACAATTTTGTTCAAATTCAATAAATAGTAATGCTAATAACAATATCAATAATACAGTAATATAATAATTTTATAAAACTGTATAATTGACACACACCCAGCTCAATATAGAAACGGGTGGCAAAGAACAGTTTAAAAGGTCTAAAGATGAAAAGTGTACTTAAGTAAAGTAAGTGTAATAATTGTAATAAAAATATTTAAATTAATAATGTTAAGTACAAATAACAATTAGGTTTAAGGATTTTAGAAAGTCACAGGAACTAAGTTAATGCAATATGTATTACACAAAATGCATGTCAGAATGATTTTTTTGTTTGCAATGACAGACAATTAGTGGTGTACCTAGGGGTTTTGCGGGCAAGCACACACACCTCCCCACCCCTAAAAAAAACAAAAACTTACACCCCCTAGTTTGCTCCATTGAAAATTTTCAAAGCAAACTAAGTATGCTCAAGTAGTTAAAAATCACCCCATATTGCTTTATTATGAGAGCAAGCACCCTCACTTGATCATCCCAATTTCACCTTCACACCCCCCTATCATCCCCACCCTCCCCATTTCAAGACTCCATACGCCACTGCAACCAATTCACACACAAAATTAATATCTTAATTTATTACTACTACCATAATTTGAAGGTGGAGCCACTTCTTTTAGAATATTGCAACTGATGTGGGATTAGTTTTACAGTAAGTTATCATATTTCTTCTTTTGCAAATTTCGAACTATGCATCTTTATGCCATCTTGGATAACTTTGTTTAGTGATGAGGTGTTTTTTTAAATGAATTAATCAACTTTAATAACAAGAGAACAAGTATGAAATGTTTACATAAGTTTTCTTTTATATTTTGGTTGTTAATATGACAAAGGATATAGTTATTTGTTATAATTATTCTGTTAGTACTATGGTAATTTAATTCTAACACAAAACATTCTGCAATATTTAGCTTTCAAAAACTTTTTAAAATTAATTTTAGTACAAAACACTGATTATGAAACAAATAGTAACATCAATTATATGCATGTTAGCTGGTATTCAACTAGCCAATTAGGATTACACAATTACATAACACAGAATCAGTGGCGTAACTCCTGTGAACTCGCAGGGGGCAAAGCCCCAGGCCCCCAGTGTCCCCGAATCCTAGCATAGACCCAGTGTTGGTCTACTGTTACTGTTTGGTGCACTATAAATATAAATAAACGATCAATGGAGCTTCAAAGAGAATTCGACTAATATCAACGTCAAATACCACAAAAAGATCAATGTATGAAGTTGCACAATTAACTGGCGATTTTTAGATGAAAACATATAGAATAATTAAATGACATATATTAATTTATTACTTTTTAGTTGGGGCACTATCCCCACCTTTGACACTTTGTGAGCGAAATTATTTTACCGACACAGGGCCTAAAATTTTCTTGCCCCTAGGGCCCCATGACTCGTTGTTACGCCACTGCACAGAATCACATGTTCTAATCATACCCAAATTACCTTTTCAAAATTTGTCTTCTGTACCTCCTACAAGCATAATAGCAAACAAATAACAAAGATAAACAAAAGAATATAGGCAAATATTATGTAATATATATTGAAAATCTAGTGCAATATGAAGTGTTTGATATTATTATAGAGGCAGAATTTCAAGAAATTCCTAATCACAGCACATCACGCCTTTGCCAACATATATAAACACACACACACCATTGAATGCACATCAGATAGGCATTTTTTGAGATTCTACCTTATCATCCTTTTTGTTTTCTTTATGCTAAGCAAAGAATGGTGGCATTAAAAAGAAAATTAAACAAACATAAATTAAAATAAATAAGAAAGTACACAGTGGTTTAAACAATAAAAAAAAACGGATATACCATTAATATAATTTACCAGTAGTTATCTAAAACCAAGCATCAAACTACTTGACAGAAAAGATAAGTAGGTATTTAGACAATTGTACAACCAGGGATCCCAAGCCTGCCACAAGTCGCAGGAGACTCCCAGAAATCATGATGGCCTCCCACACTCCATAAAGCAAGCAAGAATCTCCCAGAAAATAACCAATCTCCCGTAAATTCATATTATTTACATGTTTATACTAATTTACTATCAATTGTGTCACTGAATTCAGTGACGATGGGTATCACCATGCAGTATCACCAAAATGTAATTAGATGTGTTGTGAAAACGCTCATTTAACCAGAGCTCTCAGAAATAATTTCTTCCAACTAGGAACCCCTGTACAATGCACCCTTTTAAATATATTGATATAAGCAATTGGTAAAGTACCTCTTTCATGAATTCATGTTTCTTTGAAATGTCATAGCTAAATTCTTCTTGAAGGGCCCTAGTGTTGCGTTCTTGCAGGAGTTGCTTTCTAAGCTCATCACATTCCTCTTCAAGCTTGTAAAAAAGACAGAAATAATTTGTGATTATCACTTTTATATATTGTATGTGTGATTTATTTTAGTAATGTAAAGCAATTAATGATGTTATTAACAGTCAATGAGTACTTTAATAAATAAATAAATACAGAGTAACGAACAATTTTTAGATTATTCTAGATAGCATTATTTGGACTGTACCATTTCAATTAAAAAAAAAAATTAAAACATAATTCTTACTTGTTTAATGTTATTCTGTACCGTTCTTAGTTCAAGTATGGTGTTGCGGGAATTCAGTTCCGTTTTTTGTCGTGCATCAATCTCTCTTTACAGAATAAAAACATGGTAAACAATTGTAATGAAATTGGTGAATAAAATTAAACAACAAAAATGATATTTTAAGACTGAACTTGGAGAAGTAGAGAACATGGCATATTTCATGGTACTATAAGATGTTAACTTACACACTATAGAGCTCTTCTTTGCGCGCCAATTGTTCCCTCGTTTTTTCCAGGATAATCTGTGAGTTGTGACGTTTTTCTACCTCCTGAACAAGACGAAATCTGAAAAAACCAAAAGTGTTATCGTGTAATTACCACATTAATTCATTTGAACTACTGTATATATAATGAAGTTGGTCCATCCAGATAACTGGAATATATAAATGTGGGAGTTGATTGCTTGCGCTCTACAAAAACAAAAGATATCATAACTATCCAATGGAGTTTAGCTTGGTGGTTAAGATGCTTGCCTTCCAGTCCCAGTGTCCTGGGTTCAAGTCCTGTCAGGTTGCAAGATTTTTTTCTCAAGACCAAAACAAAACTCCATTACCTAAACCTCATATTGAGATTTTTTTTAGTTTGTGTAAAGCATTCTGTGTGTATGCTTGTGTTGTAAAAAAAATTGTCACTGCAAGCAGGACAGTGGTATATTCGCTATTAACAAACCATGGTGCATGTGTTGAAAAATAACTCACTCGAGGTCTCGTATCTTTGATTCAAGCTCCACTAACTGCTGCTCCAATTCATTCTTTGTTCTGATAAGCTCAGCTTTTTGCCTGAAGCAGAATAGAAAAGAAAGTTAGTAAAGTAAAATCCAATCTTATTGAATTTATATAACGTGATGTAAAACAACAGGTAGCACATTGTTTTACATTAAGAATACCAACATAAATAAAGCAGGCAATACAAACTGATTTTTGGAATATGTAATGCCCTAATCTTTAAAAGTTTTAGTGTGGCTTATATATTCAAGAGAGATACTAATTGAATATTGTACATTTTTGATGTTTTAAAATGGGACCATGTATTGTGTACGGGACTTGTTGCAACATTTGTATTTAATTTTTTGCGAGGAATTGGTTGTTTAACAGTTTCTAACTAACACGATGCAACAAAGAATGTTGTAATATATATGTACGGTACACTCAATAAAGTGCTATGGCCTTAATCAAAACCTCTAAGTGCCTGAACCTCTTTGGGCACAGCCTAACAATGAACTTTTCTCAAGTGTCAATCAAGCTTAACAACTGACCAATCAGAAAAGGGCCAGGAACATATGCGTGTCACACAAGCACAGTTTTGTGAGACCTTAGCAACAATATCCAAGGGGTGTGGCTTAGTGAAAATGTCCATTGTTTGTTTATCCAGGTATTTATAAAATAGACACAATTGTATCAGAGTTTATGAAAAGAAGAATTCAAAATTGTAAAAAATAAATCCACAAACCTGTGCAACTCCTTGTTTTCTGATTGCAATGCTTTGCTTTGGTTCTCAGCATTCACTCTACCTGTTCGTTCTTTCTCAACTATTCTCTTATGGTCTCGAAGGGCTGCATGCATTCTCAAGGCGCCCTCTATTATACAAAAAAAAAGTGTACTAGTAAAGTCGCTTTCCTCAATAATTGTATTTTACTGTTGTTTAACTACCATATGATAAATACAAAATGAAAATCCGAAATATTTTTTTCAATATGTATTAATATGCAGGAGTGGAGTTGAATAGCTTGGTGGTTGAGATGCCTGCCTTGAAATCCCTGGGTCCTGGGTTCAATTCCTGTCAGTGTTGCAGATTTTTTCTCACGACCAAAACACCTCCACTTCCTAAACGTCATACTGACATTTAGTTGGTGTGGTGTAAAGGATCTTGTGTGTATTGTTTTGTGTAATGGATTGTCACCTACAAGTAGGACAGCGATATATATTCGCTAATGACAATGCTTGGTGCATGTGTTGTGTGCCTAAATAAATAAATAAAATATAGTGCAGTGAAAATTTGTTATAGTAAAATATACATAATACATACCAGAACATAACATTGGATATACCTTATTTATGAAAGACTGCTAGAGTATAATTGTACATAAATCCAATCAACAAGGGAAACATTTTAAGTGGATCCACTGACCAAGGGGCTCATAATGTAAGAACTTTATTCGGACAGGCAAAAGTGCTATATTAAAAATCAAACACATTTATAATTATTTATAATTAGTCTTTACCATGACTGGTGTTAGCATTAACGCTTGTGTTCAACTGTGGTAGAGGAGTTGATGCAAAGTATGGCGGCTGGATGACAGTATCTGCGACATCATCCATGCTGTCACCGCCCTCACTTGATGTAAATGACAGACCATCATGCTCATCAAGAACAGCCTTCCAGGCTGGTTTAAAGGAACTCTACAACAAATGGAATAGAACAAAACAAAGCTATGTTACTTTATTCATTCACAGTAAATGACATATAACAGCTTTTAACTTCCTAAAAACAAAAGTTTTATTGAACAGCTATATTTCTCTTTACTCTATATATTAAAGAACAGTATATTAACTAGATTTGAATTACACAGTGAATCCATATCAATAAATTTGTTATTATCATATTATATCCTTAAAAGTCTGTTCACACTATTATATCTTTGTAACAAATAACTGTGATCCTATATGGGTAAATAGTTTCATCTGGTTTCAAATAGCAATAAATATGATAATTCCTTGAGATAAACCAAATATTACTCACTGTTTTTTGTTGACATTTTCACCTGGCTATCAGTCAGGCTTCATCAGAATCTGTGAAAGGCCCGCTACCAACGAGCATCGGTGGAAACCCTTCACAGATTCTGAAGAAGCCTGACGGATAGCCAGGCGAAACTGTCAACAAAAAACAGTGAGTAATATTTGGTTTATCTCAAGGAATTATCATATTTATTGCTATTTGAAACCAGATGAAAAAAAAAAAAAAAAAAAAAAAAACAAAAAAAAAAAAAAAAAAAAGGCTGGTTGAAAGGAACTCTACAATAAATGGAATAGAACAAAACAAAGCTATGTTACTTTATTCATTCACAGTAAATGACATATAACAGCTTTTCACTTCCTAGAAACAAAAGTTTTATTGAACACCTATATTTATCTTTAGTCAATATATTAAAGGACCAATTACAGTATATTAACTAGATTTGAATTACACAGTGAATTCATAAAATTTGTTATCCTTAAAAGTCTGTCCACACTACATGTAACAAATAACTGTGATCCTATACTTAGGTGTAATTTGAAATCATGCCCATATATGGGCACATCATACAAATTTCTTTCCTATTCTTCCTTCTTCCTATACTTATTTAATTTATATCATTTTAATACAGATTTACATATTTTAACTGTACTCCAGAAATAGGAATATGTATACTTTGTGTCAGTATTTAACATGTTTTTATCCTCAACTTTAATGATTACTTTATTTTATATAGTATTTTAAATAAATTTATTAACAAATTTCAATATAAACTATGAAATTAAATCAATAAGAATGGACATAGTAGTAATTCATTAACACGAATAACATTTTCAATCTTCTAATCAATTTATATAGCCGGAGTTAGTTTCGACCTGGGCAAACCTTTGCTAACAGGCACACTTTCTCCATCAAAAGGCTTCTTCTATGAATGGAATGACCTGTTCGACGCACGAACTCCTGTAGACCAAACCCAGTACCGTTACGATTTTTAATCGTACGGGAAATCCACTCATAAATGCCGAAATCAAGGAGGAAAGCCTGTAAACTGATTCCCATATATGGGCACATCATATAAATTTGTCACATCAAAATTTGACAGTGTGGACACAGCTTTATTCCACTAGTTAAAAAAGAACAAAAAATATGGCTGACTGTCCAGATTTTTCCAAAAGGTACAATATGTCCCTGTGACGGGCTATCCTGACAGCAAGTATACTGTACTAAAAATACATTTTTAAAAACAAATAGAACATATATCTCTTGCTTACAATTACATTTATAAATTCCAAATTTAATAGAGGGAATTACTTATTAGAGAGCATAAAATAGCCCACATATTTCATTTATTAGATTCATTTACTTCTCATAAAATAATTATATTTTTCTATGTATTTTCAAATTCAATTATACTGTATTTTTAATTTGTTTAAATTCATTCAAATATTGTAAAAAAAAATCCAAAAATATTTCTTGTTATTTGTAAATTGTTTGCTTTATATTTAATTCATGGACCATTTTTAAGAACATAATTTTTATGAAAATGTTATCTATGTAAAATATGTTTGTAAATAAATAAATAAATAAATTTATATTTCATTTTGTTCAATATCTAGGTAAAAGCAATACAAGACAAAACATACAACAAATAAGAAGTTCATTACATGAGGATTGCCAAAAGTGCAAGGACTATCAAGTGGCTTTCCTTTATAAGAAGGAAAATTGATGTTGATCAGGATATTTTTGTAGTTCTAGACTGTAGCATATACATGCATACCATACTATATACTATGATCCTAGAATTATTTTACTAAAAAACCTACCACTGTCGGGTGAATGATCATTGAGCTGTATGTGTCCAAGCTGAACGTTGCATTGGCTGGCTTGTATGGAATAGCACCCTCACTCATGTGTCCCCCTAAAAGGTTGCCAGCACTAAAAGACAAAAACATACAATTGTGATGATGATGATAAATGATGAGAACAATATCTTTTGCAGTGAATGCTACCAGCCATGAGACAGCCAATCATGGCTCCAGAAATTTGCTTACAGGTTCCAACAACTCTGATGTCTGTAATAATTATGTAGTAGTATTATAAAACCGAAAGTTCCACTGATTAATCTCAGATAAGATAGTATAATACATACTCCAAGTATTGAAATGCACGCCATCGAGTCTGGATTCAATATTTCGACATTAATTATGTCATCATTATGACACGATGGTGGAGTAGTGTTATAAAGCATTCTAAAATATGTAAATTCATCACACAAGGTTTGCGAAAGATAATTCGTTCTTTGATCCTACCTTTTTGTTTCAGAATCCTTTGAATGGTTCATTTTTGGTCTCTGCTCCAGAGCGGTGGTAGATGATGGATGTGCCTGTTTCTTCAACATCATCTCAGCTTCATCCTCCAGTTGACTTAACATTTCATCAAACTCATCATCTCCATCTGCAGCACCATTGTTTGTGATATTTCTATTCTTGATACCTGTATTCACAAAATCTCCTGAATCCTCATAGGCCAATCTTTCCTCCAAGCTTCTCTGATACTGAAGCAAATTCCGATCACCAGTTCTACTTCCCATGGAATCTCTATCCCTTTTCAAGTTTTCTAATTCTAATTTTTGTCTCTGAAATTCTCTCCTCTCATCTTCTAATATCTTTTTCTCTGCTTTGACTTTCTCTTCTTCATTTCTTCGGAGATCATCAGCAGCCCTTCGTAGCTCATCTTCTTTTTCCATATTTTCAATACGTTTTCTTTCAAATTCCATCCGTTGCTCTTCAAATCTTCTTTTTTCCTCTTCAACTCTTGACCTTTCCTGCTCAAGGTATTTCTCTTCTGTCATTTTACCTGAAGCCACCTTCTTTAGATTTTCCCTTTCCTCTTGGAGTCGTTTTTCCATCGCTAGACGTTCCTCCTCAAGCCTAAGTTTTTCTTCTTCTAGTTGTCTCTTCTGTTCCTTTTGCTGACGTTCAAATTCTTCCCTCAATCTTCTAGTTTCATCTTCTCTTCTTCTCTCTATCTCCTCTTTTTCAATTTCTAACATTTTCTTCTGTTTCTCTAATTGTTGCCTTTCCTCATCCTGTCTTTTCTTCTCAGCTTGAATTTTCTCCTCCTCTTCAATTTTTCTTTCTTCTGCTCGTCTCTTTGCTTCTTCCTCCAATTTCTTTGCCTGAGCTTGCCTTTCTTTTTCATTTTTCTTCCATTCATTCTCCTGTCTAATTTTTTCTTCTTTTAATTTCTGCCTTTCAATTTCTAATTTTCTAAGTTCTTCCTTTCTTTCTTCCTCTTTCATTTGGTGGTCATGTTCAAGTTTCTTTTTCATGTCTTCTAATTTCTTTTCTTCTGAAATTCTCTTCTCCTCTTCTGCAATTCTTACAGCTTCTAATCTCTCCTCTTCTTCTCTTTTCATTCTTTCTAATTTCTTACGTTCTTCCATCTGTTTCTTTTCAAATTCTGACTTAATCTCCATTAACTTTCTTTCTTCTTCCACTCTTTTTTTCTCTGCTTCTTTTTCTAGTTGCTTTTGCTTTTCCAGCTCTTCCTTTCGTTTAATCTCTGCAGCTTTTTCTAAATCGTGGATCCTCTTTTTAGCAAGTTCTTCCTCCTCAAGAACCCTCTCTCTTTCCCTTTTAATCTTTTCTTGTTGTTTTCTATACTCTTCCTTTTCTTCTTGCACTCTTCTTTCTTCCTCCTTTCTTTGTTTCTCTCTTCTTTCTTCATCTTTTCTTCGTTCCTCTTTTTGTCTTTCCTCCTCAATACGTTGCTCTTCCTGTCTTTGTTTTTTTAACTTTCTTTCCTCTCGTTGCAATCTTTCAAGTTCTGCTTTCTCCTTCAGTTCGTCCTCCTTCTTCTGTTTTTCTAACTGTTTCCTTTCTTCTTCCTTTCTAAATCGTTCGTTTTCTTTTTGCTGCCTCTCTTTTTCCTCCTTCTCTTGTTGTATTTCTTCCTCTGCTTCTCTTTTCATTCGTTCTTCTCTTTCCTTCATTTCCTTATCCCATTGTTCTTGCCTGAGTATTTCTTCGTCTTCCTCATTGTCTTTCCTGTTAGCCAAGGAACCTTTACCCTACAAATTCAAAGAAAATAAAAATGTCAAGCTTAACATCTTAACAGCTTAAACAAAATCTTGACTGTATATTTCAACTTTACAATACATCTAGAGTACGAAATCGAACATTATGTATTAAGTTATTTTATGTCATTCTACAACACTGGTTTATGAAACTGGTTTCAATTTCGTTTTACCTAAGAGGGCCCCTAAATATCAGCTAATTCTGGAAGATTTACACTCTATCAAAATATGTTTGTTAATGGTTAAGGTCAACCAACTCAATTATTTTAGGCTTAAAAATGTCAATTTTAAACATAATACTGCAAGTATTTTGGTTGGTTGGGCATATCTGCTAAAAGATTAGCTGCGCCAATACTTCATAGACCTTGAGTAGCACAAACCATGGACCTATTAAAAAGAAATAGGTCCATGTACAAACTCTTATTGTTTTGCCTTATCTGCTACCAGCTTTCTTTAGAATCACATCAGTGTTCCCATGATGAAAGGTTAACACTAGGCGGCTGAAGAGATTCATTATAAATTACCAGTTACGTTTAAGCGAGTTCCAAGTTTTCACTGTGAAGCTGTATATATTCATAACATGCTTCATGACAGTAACTTGAAACTTAATATTATAATAATAAAGAAGATTTCTATAGTGCTCATAAATTTATTTCAAATGCTCTAGGCATTTGAGAAAATAAACTGCAGAAAAGGAATAATTTGGAAAACTAATCCAGAAAATATCCAATAAACTAACCTGATGCAGAGGAATGAGAATTATTGCTCCATTTACAAATTTATTATTTTTTACAGACTGCAATAAATTACAAAACATAATGAAACCTTCAATGTCAACAAACAATTTCATTAGGAATGAGTACATACGTCTTGTCTTCGGTTTTCTTTTTCCCATTCACTCTCTTCTTCCTCTTCATCGTCTGTATCCCAATCATCTTCACCATCATCCTGAATACCAGTCATCTTATCAGGAGTTCCCTGTGCTGTTCCTCCACCATCATTCTTTCTTGTGGCAGGTGGCGCATGAACTACTTGAAGGGGTAAGAATTATATGTTATGATATAGAATCATAAAATGGAAAGGATACAATGGTGGTGCATGAATTATTAAGATGAGGGGTGCAAGTTCACTGATAGGGGGTGCAATGTTCAAGAAAAAATTCAAATTCACTTCATTCCCATAGCGTTTGGAGTAAAAGGAATAAGCCCCTCTAGATACCCAGATATGGTACCTCCAATGTAAAAATGCCAAAATATGCTTTTTTCAAAAAAGCAGTGTTCAGGTGCAGATCAAGTAGGGGACACGGTTCCACCCGACCCCACATTTTGGCATTAAATATTAAAATTTCAATGCATATAAATGTTATGTATTGCAATAAGCGTGACGCACTTATCTATTCTGAATGTTGTGCCCCCTCCCCCGTTTGAAAAATTCTGGATCCGCCCTTGGTGTTCCAAGGAGAAATGATTGGCTTTTGCTGACAAGGTGGTCTATTTTTCCTCAACCTAGGGCTTATGCCCCTCTGGATTCACTGTTGGTGCCAACACTGAAAGGACACCGCAGAAACAAACTGATGAGCAATTAATTTAGTGATTCTAATATTTTTGAATTTTGAGAAAACAAAGCACAAGAGATTAGGGTCCACAGATTCAGAGCCTAATTTAGTAAAAGAAATTACAATTTTGCCAGTCAAATAGAGGGAATTCAGCCTAGTGCCCCTTTATGTGTAGCCACTGTAGATTACATACAAATTATAATATTTACCTTCACTGTGAACAACATAACCATTAATTTTTTGAAATATGTTAAGTGCTTTCACTCTGTGCCCTTTCACATCTTCCATCTTCTTACATCACAAATCCAACATTCAATACTGAACATTTTAACAGAATAATTATGGATACACTAATCAATTATACTTGTATTTTTTCTTTGATTACGATGGTGCTGTATGCAATGCTTACCTTTGTTGTCTGAGGCGTGTGATGGCAGCATATCATCCTTGGAGATAAGAAAAGATATTATTGATTAACAAATAATCATTGAATACAAGGATACTAATTTAGTCAATAAAAATGTAACATTATTGTAGTATCTAAGGAATTAAAATATTAAAATATTAATCATAATCAAAATTTTATTGAAAATATTAGTTTAGCATGTATTTTTGTACAGTTATGTCAATTTTTATGTTCATGGTTTTCCTTTATTGCATCAAATTTAAGAAACGAAAGCTTTAGGTGTTCATTGATGCAGAACAATTTTGCATAGTTGATTAATCAACATTCAAGACATGGATATGAGCAGGTTGTAACTGCATGCAAGACAGTAAATATGATTTCACACTTCACTGAACATTTCACGCTTCAGTGAACATGTACAGCTCAGGTACAATTTGTTGCACATTCATTTAGTGAGTTTTCTCAATAAAGTTAACATGTGGAAAACTCACGCGTGAACGAAGTCAATTCTGACAAAGAGGATCATGGCACTTTCCTTTTTTGAAAGTTATTACCAATCAATTACACAAAATTAAAGTTTCTTTTAATTGCCAATCTTAGTCCATCTGGCGTACTTCAGGATAATTACACCTAGTAAATTAAGAGCTTTATAATAATTTTACCAAAACTTGTAAATTTGAATTCACTTTATAGGCTTAAGCTGTGCATATTACTGATATAAAACATTGAACTCAACCCTCCCTAACTTCAAAAGTGATCTTGCTTAGTCATTTTTTATTAACACTTAAGTCTATTCAGGGGTTCAAAGTTGGAAGAAATCGATTCCTTTCTTCTGGGAGATCTTATTAAATAACTTCTTTAACATACTTAATTTCATTTTTCTGTGTATGGTGAAACCAATTGGCACTGACTCTTGTAAGCAGTAAAATTACGCAAATATTATGAATTTGCAGGAAATCAGTTATTTTCCAGGAAATTGGTTATTTGCCAGGAGATTCTTGCTTGCTTGCGGGAGTGTGCGGGAGCCGTACCGATTTCGGGGAGACTCCAGCACCTTCCAGAAGACTTGGGACCCCTGGTCTATTCATGTATTTTATTTAACTATTGTCTTGTACTTTCAGTGACTTCATTCCTAAGCTATTATTATTATTAATCTTATTTTCATGATTAATAATATTGTTTTTATTATTATTTGTCCATTTAAAAACAAAAATAATCAATTAACTAGAAAATATAAATACTATTTTAACAAATAATTCTAGAAAAATATATTAAGGAATAAATAATACTTACATCACCAGAGTCCCAGTCTGTAAGGCAATGAGGAAAACAAAAATGTATTATAAATTCCATTTAAAACCTTCATCATAAAGCATGCCATTACATGACTATAAAGAATTGAGAGAGAATTTAATACGATGAACACTAATTTAATAATAATCATAAGAAAATTATAATTTTAATTTCTAGACAGACACTTCCAGGTCTATTTTCTTGGATTTAAATATACTTACCATCATCAAACATATCATTCGGTACTGATCTTGGAGTGTCATTCTTTGTTGCCTTGGAAACAACCTCCTATGACACACAAAGAAACCTTTGTCATTGAAATCAAATGTTTTCATACAACTTTATACCTAAGAATTACTACAATATAAGCCTTCATAACTAAAAGTTATTTAATAAAAAAAAAACTATTAGAATATAATTTATTAATATTGGTAAATCTTTCGGAGTATGTTGGATAAATTAAAATGTCTTACCGCTTTCTTTTTTAAGGTAGAGCCTCTCTGCTCAATTGAGGGCGCTTTTTCACTGAACTGCTCCGATTCCTCATCATCATCATCATCATCCACATCACTCATTCCAAGTTTACTCAAAACATCTGCAAAAATAAAGATGTTAAAGGTCAAGTTACATTTCCTTATCCAATGCTGCTGGTAGCAGATGCTAAATATTTTAAATACACTTAATACAAATTAAAATCAAATATTTAAAACAAAAAAAATATTAGTTCATCACCCCCCTCCCTCATCACTTTTGGGGAAATTCTTATTTTTATTTTTTATTTTTTCTCCAACATATATTTTTATTTCAAACAGTCATTTTTCTATCTTTCTTCACTTGAAAAGCCCATGATTTCTGGCAAACAAGTTTACTGGTACAACAAAAACATTTTTTTTAATATAAATTTGATTCCATTCTTATGACATTTTTATATATTTGTCCTAATCATTGATTTACATTGGTAAAATGTGGTGGAGTTAGCAAAAAAAAAACCTCCCTCCTTATCAGTTTTTTATACTTTGAAAGGGTGATAAACTAAGAATTCTTTTTTTTTTTTTTATGGGGCCTGATGTGTATCCACAGCATGATAGTTCAAACCATAGTATATTGATAACATTAATATATTTATTTTTATTAAACAAATACAGCTACTGATTCATTACATGGAATAAAAAAGAAAAGGAGAGCAGACAAACACAGGAAAAACAAGTTTCAGTCACAAAAATGTTTTTATAAATTATAGACATTACCAACAAAAAATTTGATCATTATGCTACTTTCCAACTCTGCCATGGAATTTATGTATTTACTTTACTGTCTGTCCTTCTGTCTGTCTGTTAGAATGATTATGCAAAACTAATGAATGGATCATCATTTAGTGGAATGGTACATAATAATCAAAGAAAGACACCATTCAATTTTTGGAAAAGGTCAAAGGACAAGGTCAGGGTCACAGAAATTCAAGTTTTTACCTTCGAGTGCATAAAAGTAAATAATGGCATTGTCCCACCATGGACCTATTAATTAATAGGTCCATGGTCCCACATATTCAGGCACCACTCAAGAAAACAATGTGCCTGAATACAACGGGTGGCTCCATTATTTTTTTTAGGGTATTCAGCAGCAACAAACAAAATGAAAGCCTCACCTTTTCTCATCTTCTTGTCACTTTCAGTTAGTTTTCCTCCTTTAGATTTTGAGGCTGGCACTGGAGTAACTAGAAGAAATAACATTAAAGTACATTAAATATGTGATTTCTCGCTTTAGACTACAGGCTGGTGGGCAAAGTGCGAGCCACAGGCCCTATGGCAATAGCATACCATCTTTGACTAGGCTAGAAAACGGTAATTATCTGTAAAAATATTGCAAACTAAGCATAAAGCAGTGTTTGAAAATTATTATGGAAATAAAATGTTATAAAATGTCAGACTTTGGTTGTGGCCCTCAGTGTTAAATAAAAAATTTCACTGGCCAACCGACCCATTTTTATGACCACCACTGCTTTAAAGACCAAAAAAATTTTCGAAAATAATATATTTAATATATACATAATAGAGTTACGATGCTGTTTTGTAATTGTATGATTATGGGCTTAAAAAAGCCTGTAAAATATTTAGATTTTTGGTCTACTCTCTATGACTCATAATAAGACTTGGTTTATAAATTACTACATAGTTTTATAATGTAATTAGTTGGGTAATTGCTATTTGAAAGTGAAAGAATTTTTTTTCAAATATAACTATATGTTCCTTGTATATAACAGTAACTATTGTAAAATTAATATTTTTGTACTGTTTATAAAGTTTTTGAATGTTTCTTTGTGATTTTATCGATTTTATCGCTGTGATTTTATATTGTATTTACTATATGCTCCCTGTTATTGGCATTTTCGCTGTTGGGGGTAAAATGAAATAAAATAAAATAAAATAAAAATTAAATAACTAAGAATGTACCTGTATCATCTTCCTCTTCTTCTGCAATTGGTGTCTGAAAAATTGTATGGATTTTGTAAATTAAATAATAAACAAAAGCAAATTATTACTATTTCTGTTTATAAAACAGAATATAAGGCCTTTCCTTATTGCCCTAGGAGAACTGAGTATAATAAATTAAAAAATAATCATTTCAAAAAAATATAAAGTAAAAAATACATGAAAACCCCCCCCCCCAAAAAAATCTTAAGCAAAAGAAGCATGGAAATTCAATGGTAGAGACTCAAAACTAAAAATAAAATGACAAACAATAAACAATATGATAAATGATAATTGAAAATATTTACAGTGATATTGATAATGATAATAAAAATTATATAAATAATAATAATAATAATAAAAATAATAATAATAATAATAATAATAATAATAATATGCGTTAATTCGAACTTAATGGGAATATCTTTTGTGTTATTTTCCCCTTAACAAAGTTTTTTTATTAGTTCACTAAACTCCAATCCATTGTCTAAATTCCCCTTAATGTACATTTTAGTAACATAATAGTAATGATAATAATAATAATAAATATATTTTTTCTTCACTAAAATAATAGAGTAAAGGATGCTTCACTTAAACAAAAAAAATTTAAGTACCAGTTTACCAGATAGAAACATTTCTGCATGAGAGTTTTTTCCTGTTAAAAAAGAGAAGCAGGCTTGTTCAATAGTACAAACATTGTGTAGTCCTGGTGTTTATGGTAAAATTATACCATAAAAATAATTGTACTCCTCATCTGGTAGATTGTTAATTGTGTGAACTCTCAGTAATAGTACTCAATTACCTGATCACTGTCAGACAGTTTAGTTTTGAAGTTATGTTAACTATTTCCGTGTTTCATTCCATTTCTTTGGCAAACAACGAGAAAATTCCAGATCAGTATCTGCCAGTACCACCTAGAATGCTGAATATTATTGTCTAGATCATTTTGCTATCATTTAAATCATGACAATGACATCACTAGAAGTCTTTGTGATTATCCTGAGTACTGTGATCTGTAGATTCGAGGGCCTGGAGATTACCCAGCATCCCAGAAGTCAAAATGTTTCTGAGGGGGACAATGTTACGTTTACTTGTGGGTTTAATTCTTCTCTTGGAGAAAATGATGGGTATAGGCGAATGTGGCATCGTAAGCTAGAAGGTGAAATGTCCGCTACAATACTTACTTTTCAACACAAAGTGCGTCCAGAAATAGAAGGTAGGTTCGTTGTCAGCCAAGATGACTTATTAAACTATGAGTTAAGCATCGCACCCGTATTGTATAATGATGCAGGTATCTATTATTGTGTATTTGGCAACGTCACTACGAACACTCTCTTAAGTCGCTCAGATGAAGCAAAATTAGAAGTATATACACCTCCACCGGATCCATTATGTTACATTCAGTATGCGACGAACAATACACAATATGTGTGTACGTCGAATATTAAAGGTGATACTATCTTCTGGATTCATGAAAACAAGCTCATATTACAACACGTAATTGAAGTTGTGGAAAATGACACACAAACCTTACGATGCTATGTTAATAACAGCCTTGGAGTACCAAGCAGAACTTGCATTATCAACAACAATTGCATGGTGCAACATGCATTCAACGGCCTGGTAGTTATAGGTGATAATGCTACATTTACATGTAGCTGTCACTCTCAACACCTTTGGAACGTTACCAGTTGGACATACAATGGGACTACAATTTCATCAATTAAAGAGCAATTTTTAGTTAGAGACAAGTCACTCTTCATAAATGGCATCCAAGAGAAAGACAACGGTCTCCATATTCGATGCAATGCAAATTATAAAACAAATGAAGTATCTAGCGAATGGTTAAAACTACAGACGTTATTAAACACCTCTACAATAAAAACTCAAAATATTGATCCCGTTTCTCCCACAGCAACATCTAGTGAAGTTGCCTCTAATAACATGTCGTCTGGACAAGTTAATGCCTCACCAGCAACAGTCACTCCAACGAATGACTCTGTATCTTATGAATTCTTAAAATATATTGCTTTAGTATTGGTAATATTAATATGTGTGATTACGGTGGGTGGTATTTGGTACTGTTGTATTAGGTGTCGAAAAAAAAGCAAGTTAGTGATAAGCAATTATTGCCCACCAATGGCACCAGACAACACTCAACTGCAAACAATTGCAACGCCCATCCATTTTTCCCAGTATAAACATGAGAGCGTATCTAATACTTATGAAAATTCCGATATTAAAAGAAATGTTTTGAATGATAGCAAAGTCCTCTCACTATATGATAGCACCATCGAGGTAACAGATGTTGTATACGATAATCTTAAAACAGACACCTGTGAAATTATATTTGAAGATGATGAATGGGATGAAGATTATTGCTAAAAATATTACATTAAATATTAACTACATTAATTACAAGTTTACCAGTAGATAAACACTTCTGCATGAGAGTTGTTACCTGTTTGTTTGACAGTACACAATGTGTAGGCCTGGTGTGTATGGTCAAATTGTGAAAAATATTAAGATAATGATTAACAGGTCGAAAGTAACAATATTTTGTGAAGATGTCCTCAAAAGCAGCTCTGTGGTGATATATAATGTTTGCTCTGTTAGCTTGTTTAAATAAGACATTCTTTTAATATTCCAATTTAAATGTGCTCTCCATTATGCGGCTGGCTGTCATGCAGCGCATAACTTCATTTAGACTTGTCGCACTGAAGCTCTGTAGTGTTAATGGAAGCTAAGATTGTAGTGTTAAGACAAGAGTGATCATGAGGCCTTCATCATCCAAATTTTGCTCTTTTAAAATTTTACACCTTATGTTCTCGCTCTTGCGAATGGATTTTTAGCGTGTTGATGATTAAGATCATTTATATTTTTTGTATGATGTTGATAATTACGGAAGCACCTAAGTGCCATTCGACTTGACGACTTGTCAAGATAATTATGTTGTCAAGTCGACATAATATACATATCATATCGACATGGCGAGATAGATTATCTTGACAAGTCGACATAATATAA